AACAACAACAACAACAACAACAACAGGGTATGAATAAAGAGGAAGAGACAGCGAGCTGCAGCTCACAGACTCAGTCACTCTCACCTTCGCCCTGCTCCTCGCCTCCGTCACCTCCTTCTTCAACTTCTTCTTCTTACCCTTCACAGTCGGCATTTGGTGCGTTTTCTGTAAGAGGATCAAAATGGCCGATCATGTTAATAAAGTCAATCACGGGGATCTACCAGCGTCTGTATATGTCAGTTAATTAACGCTTAACGAGGACTGGCGGTGGCCGGGAGCTGATGATGTTTGAGATAATTGGATGAGCCGTGGAACAAACACAACTTTAAAGACTGATGATCTTTACAGGAAGTTCTGCTGTATGAAATGTGTTGTGTGTGTGTGTGTGTGTGTGTGTGTGTGAATGTTAATGAGCTCACTATAACCTGGTTCTGTTTCAGTGTTTCCTCTCATCAAGATAGATAATCCACACACCTTGTTGTTTCACAGAGGGACTGTTTTCTTTCTACCGAACTACGCCCGCTAACCAATCATATATTTTATTATCATAAATATAGATATTTTATATTTAACTCCTCCAACCAGCAGAGAGCAATAATACTGTATGAGAGACACTTCTGAATGATTGATGTAGCTAATCTACATCACTAGACAGCACATCATTATTTAGGCTGGTGTAAGAATATATATGACACAATTTATAACTTTGATATAATTTATATGCATTGTTTTCCTGTCCTGAATTAAGACTCCATGTTTGTTTCTGTTCAAATGTTTAACTGACTGAAAATATGTCCACAAATGAATACAGTATAAAGCTGCCCATCCCCCCAACCCCCTGTCCTCACAATCTCCGTCCTCACAACCTCCTCCAACTCTCTCCCTTAATTTAATTACAGTACAAAACAAAAGCTTAAAGTTCCTTTTCCCGTCTTCCTGTCTCACAGGATGCTGTTCTACAACAATAGATTCACTCAGGAATAGTGAGGATGGGTTCAGAGGTCAAGGCTGAATGTAGCATTAGTTTTGGTTTGGTTAGTGAATTTGTGTTTGAATTTGTGTAAACTTTGTGTTCTTTGCTATCTGGCCATCCCATTCAACCTTATTGAATTGTGTGGACATTAATAATGTGACAAAACTAGTTGGAACAGGTTGATTTTCATGACCCTAATCAACTTAAAAACTAGTGTTTATGCTGCTCAATGTACATTTGTTGAACCTAATTTCATTAGAAGTTTGCATAACTCAAAAAGATTGCGTTCATTTTTTTGTTGCGCTCTCATCCACTAACATGATATCTGGTTTGAAGTCATGTGGTTTTGTTTTCCTGTGGGGAGAGCGGGGACGGAGACGCACCGCTCAGAAACTGCAACCAATCATTGTTCAAATACTTTAAACTTTGACCTCGGTTGCTATGGCAGCAGAGAGTGATGGAAGATATTGAACTCTTCCACAAACTCCATATTGAAAACACACCACGATCCCAACAGGAAAGCAGTCAGACAGGGTACGAGCTCTGTGGAGAGGCAGTTGTTTAGCTAGTTTAATCCACTGCTAAAGTTAGCTTTTCCGGTAATGTATGTTAGCTATGCTAGGCAGATCTCTAAACCTGACCAAGTTGTTTCTGTGCCTAAACTTACCCAAACCTTCACCACAGTCTGTCATATAACAGAAGTATTTATTGGCAGGAGCAGATCACTGCTGATGTTGTCCACAGGGTGCCGAGGAGACGGAGGGCAGGAATATATCTTATCACATAGATCAATAAATGCTTGGAAAATCCTCCAAATGAAGATATTTGAATATTAAATATTTGAATAAACTTAAATAATAATCCAAACTTGGGTGCCCAGTTAGCGTAGTGGGTAGAGCTGGCGACCCATGTACCGAGGCTGAGTCCTTGCTGCAGTGGCCCAGGGTTCAAATCCAACCTGGTCCTTTGCTGCGTGTCATTCCTCTCTCTCTCTGCCCCCCTGTCCTGTCTGTCTCCAGCTGTCACTATCAATAAAGGCAATAAAAGCCCAAAATTATAAAAATAATAGTCCAAACATTAAAAAAAAGTCAAAAAAAATGAAGTAAACACTGAGATATCGACCTACTGTGGATCAAGAAGGCCTCACGACCCCCCATGAAGCTTTAGCTGACCCATAGTGGGGGTCCTGACCCTCAGGTTGGGACCCACTGCTCTAAACAGTAGACTCAGAAACACGTTTGTTGTAGTTTGAAGGACTTGTTGCAGGCATCCTACTTATCCACCTTTACTATTCTATTCACCATTAGACCCTGAAAGTTAAGTCAAAGAAAAGGTTTGACCATAATTATAGTTTATAATGTTCTTTTTTAATTTGTGAAAACAGATTAAACTAAATTAAAAACATATTAAAAACTATTTATTTCTATTTCAGGGCTCCCGTACACATTCAGTCAATTTGGAAATGAGTGTTTTTAGGATTTGTAGACACCATATTTTTAAGGTTTCAGTTGTGTTTCTACGACAGGATGTTATTTTTGTAAATAACTACAATGACTAAAGTCTAATCCATCAATACATACATTTAATGTTGGTGTAACTCTTACTAGTAGCAGTGCATCAACAGGAGTAACAGTAAAAGGTTAAAAACACATTGTCAATCATCTTTTCACTCTTCTGTTATCTCACAGTTTTACACTCAACGCTGCTGAACCTTAAATCAGACTGAATATCACCATCAGTGTTCACACTACATTGAAACATAATATCAGAGCTGTTAGCTGTTAATTCAGATCAGGACCGCTGCTAGATTATCTCTTTCTCTACCAAGCATGTTTTTAAAGCAGGTGTATTTCAGTGAATCAGTGCTCACCTGTGCAGCTGACTCGGTGTGCAGAGGAACCACAACAGACAGTCGCTGCCTCCCCGTCTGTCTCTGATCTCAGGAGTCTTAGGGTGAGTCTCAGTGTAAAAACTCACCCTCCTCCTCTATATTTCTCCGTCTTCTTCCCTTGTTTAACCGTAAAAGGTGGATTCAAGATGGCCGCTTGAAATCTTTAAACAGAAAACTTAAAGTATGAATCCAAAGGAAGGAGAGACGGAGGAACAAGAGGGAGAAAGAGGGAGAGAAGGAGGAGGCTCAATGGGAGCGTTGAGCCTCGTCCCGGGGTTTACAGTGACAGGTGGATCATGTGCTGAGCCGAGAGTGAGTAAGTGACAGCCTCTGGGAGCTTAGTGGTTGGTTGATCGGCTGTGATGTCATCTGCTGGCGGCGCTCCAAAGTACGGAGGGTAATACTTCCTCGCCAACAGATCCAATGCACCTTTTTCACAGCAGCTGGTTTGACAGCAGTTTGAGCTTGGTATTCCCAATTATATAAGTATAGTCCAATGAACCAGAACCAGAACCAGAGAACAGTTCGATACCTGTCGCTGTAGTGCATAGCGGCTGTGTGCTACGTCCCCCTCAGTCCAGCAGCTTGTAGTGGATCCATTAGAGGACTCCTGGTGGACTGGGAGTCCCAGTGAGCAGGCAGGTCCAGACCGGGACTGGAGAGCAGCATCTGATGCTGACAGAGGATAGTTTGACTGCAGGGAATAAAGGACTGAGGTGGATCCTGGCAGCTGCACGAGCTAATGGTAGCTAACATTACCACTGGCAGCAATTAGCTACTTTTCAGCATGAGGCGCATCAGGAAACACTGTAAATAACCGCTGTAATCAGTACTGCCGTTGTCGAACTGGCCTGTTAGGGAAAACCAGAAGATATTCTCTCCACAAAATATGATCCAGTTTTACCAAAATCACTGATAAAGTTGTGTGTTTGTACGGTGATAATAAATAATAAGATAATTAATAATAAATAAAGTTTTTGTACAAAAGGTTGTTGAAAGAGTTTTTGTCATTTCTGGCGTACATTGTTAAATAGGGGTACAGTATGACTGGTGTAATCTGAAAGGATTTAAAAGATATTTTTAATTTCATCTGGACTTTAAGGTTAGTATTTTCAGTGTTTTTAATAGACGTTATTGACGTGCTTTACAGGGTGATAAAGGTTTATTCTGTCTCTCTGACGGCTCTGAGTCTCAAGTCAGAAGCTCAGATTAGATCATTGTTACTGTCAGCAGGTGGGTTGGTTCTCTCGAGGTTAACAGGTCAAAAGTAAAACCTTTACACCACAGAAACCAGGTCAATACACCAAATCCAATTAGACCACACACACATATACAGTCCTACATCACCAACAGTGGAGTATGGAGTCTATAAGGCCAAGTGTGGACTAATATGTTTTTTTAAAAGGTTAAAACAACAAAAATATAACAATAATGTTACCTTTAAGGTCTAGTACCATAATATTATTGCAAATGTGCTTTTCTTTAAAAGAAATTACCAAGTGTGGACTTCCATCCTTCCGTGATGTCTACCTATCAAAAAGGGGACCTCTGGCTCATTTGGTGAACTTTGTACCACAGTCGTCCTTTAATGATGATGTACAATAAACAATGATAAAAACTACACAAGATATACATGTAACATCATTGCAGTAATGCTAACTGTAAAAAGAAATATGATATGTATTTTCTGCCACTAGGGGTCTTTCACATCCAAACAATAGCAGCTGCTAACGTTAGCTCAGCTTATTTCTCTGATAACTCAAGATCCAGAC